CCACAACCAATGATATACCCCACATATCACACTCACCTACCTATCACACCCATCCACCTATCCACCTATCCCGCCCAGCTTGCTCAAGGCAGGGCGTTTGCTGCGAGTCCGCACGTGTCCTACCAGCAGACGGTCATATGGAGGTCGTGCAGAGGGTTGGAATAGGTACTACTAGTAAGGCACTTGTTACTAGAAGCGATGCACTTCTTCCTAGTAGCTTCTTGTTACTACTAGTAATGCACTTGTTACTAGAAGCGAGGCACAACAGAACGAGAGGACCCGGAACCAGTGCAGAGTAGTTCATGTGGCCCTCCTAATAAAGACCTCCTACGCAATGATGTTGAGACACTTGAACTCATCATCCCAACTCATATGTGTTGCTTATCATGCACATGGTTCGAGAGTTCTTTTTGTTACATTTTGTTACTTTGTTCTGCAGGTCTGTGTGAAGTACATGGACGCGGGTGTCCTCAGAGAGGTGCGAAAAGGCCAGACGAAGAGGTCGGCACTTGGGAAGAAGGAGTTCAGAACGGCAAGGGATCTGCAAAAACCGTCAAGCCTTGTCTTGTTGTCCAGGTTCCTCCTGAGTCTTTTCTGTCGTGCCGTATCTCTTCTATCTCTTCTCTCCGAGGTCACCTTGCACGAGCAGAAGGAAGGCTTCTGACACTTGGCCTTGACCGGCGCCGGACAGGCCCTGAAGGTGCTTGGTTGGTCGTTTGGAGACCCACTCAGCAACATCTGCCGGTTCACATTCGTTGCTGCTGGAGATCACGGTCACTCTTTTGCAAGTCAACGGGTCCAAACTCTGTTGCAACCTCCTTTGCAGTGATGACTCCAGTGGTGAAGATCAGTCAGGTGATCTTCTCAGTCATTCCAAGTAGCGCGGTGCGGATAGGTGGATCCTGTATACTCCATACGTCGTGGTGATGACTGCTGTGGTGAACAGCTGGAGTTGATGTTTGGACGACGCGTTGATGTTCGATCCCAGCGGGACACTTCGCGCTTTTCGCTTTGTTCCTTTGTTCCTTAGATCCAAAAAAAGACCAAGAAGCTGCTAGTAGCTGCTGGCCTTGCTACTGGGAACAAGAAGCTACTAATTAGGTGGAGGTTGGAGGCCATCGCTACTAGGTTCATTCCATTCTTGCTTCCTTTCCTCCCTTTGACAATTTGGATGTTGATGGATCAATTTCTACACTACCCTGGAACCATCAGGTCTCCGTGTTTCCATGTGTTTCCGGTCTTTCCAATGGCGTCTCTCTCTAGAGTACCTTCAGTGGTGCAGGATTCTATTCCATACAACTGTGGACATGAGTCAAAGTAGAACTTCCAGAAACCACGAATTTTCAAAGGAGAAGGCACCACCAACTCATTGGTCCAAAATTGGAGTTTCTTCTCCTGAGGTGTTTGTTCACTGAATGGTTTCATGATGGTGAGCATGGTGACCCTCCTGAGGTGCTTGCAGATTGCAGACTCAGCGAGTACCGGTGTCAAGGCAGACCCACGGAGCTTTGTACTTGTAAAAAATGACATCCAACCTAAGAGCGATGGCATCCCAACCTAAGATAGAAGAAGAACGAAACTAAGGGCACTGGAGAACTGCAGCAGCGTTTGGTTTAAAGCCTACATACAGCATGTGAGGGATGTTGATGACATTTTAGAGCTGACGCAAGTGGTGAGTTGACCGACGTGGGAGCTGGAGAACATCCTTTACGAGCCCACCTGGCTGTGCAATGTGTGTTTGGTGTCAGACCTCTCACAATCAATTTCAGGATTGATCCTCCCATATATTTCAGGCAGACTGTCATCGAAACTGCATGGAAAGATGTGAACTTGCTTGTCGACTACACGGGTGCTCAGTCAAATCCATGTTAGTGAACTTGGAAGGGTAAGTCCGACAATCGATGTCAGTGCAAAAGACCATTATTCTCCGGAGAGCACTGGTTCCTAGTAGCTTCTTGTTCCTTGTAGTAAGGCCAAGAGCTACGTTCCTAGCGTCCTTGCTCCTAGTAGCCAAGGAAAAACCAGGTGTCTCCACTTGGCAGACTGCAGCGGCAAGGCTGTCGTTGGTCACGATGGAGGGCACCAGCTTTGGAGTCCACTACCGGGAGGCTGGAGTGACTTGTTCTCCACACGCAAGCGGTTTTGCCGATTTCTCACACAACTCCAAGTGGTGTGTGTGTGTGTGCTTGAGTTTCTCTTCAGAGGATGGGAAAGAGCTGTGTCAAAACGGGGTTCCATGATGACTTGAATGATTTACCTGCTATTTAGCTCTTGGTCCAAGCTGAGGTGTCCAATCACACTTCCGATTGTGACGTGTTCGGCTCTGAACGTGTGAAACCACAAGGACGGCAAAGGGAACAGCACAGATCCGGACGAGCGAAATGGCAGGCCATGGAATTCCTCACCCAGGCTCACCGTTTTTGGGGCAAAAGGATCTGCTCCACCCAGTGTGTCAAAGTTTTCGGGAGAAGTCAGGTAAGTCAGAAAGCAAGGACATTGGTGGAGTCAGAAAGCACTACAACAGTTTTTTGGTGTTGTTTCAAACGCTCCAAATCGCCAGCATCCTCATGGCCAAAAACATCGTCGTGACAGAACCCGAAGACTTATAAACTCGACATAAAACCACTCGTAACAAGGACGCTACGAACCGGGGCTCCTGGCCTTACTACTAGGAGCAAGGACGCTACTAGTAGCTCCTGGCCTTACTACTAGGAACAAGAAGCTACTAGGAAAAAGGGCATCGCTACTAGCAACAAAGGGCATTACTACGAACGGAGCGATCGGACGCCACGAACGGAACAAAGGGCCTCGCTACCTTCGTAGCAACGGATCCGGTGACCGACCCAGCGCTGGTCTCCGTCCGCGGACCGCGACCGCGCCGACCGCGCCGACCGCGCCCGCAGCACCTGGTCACCAAGCCGGGGCTCCGCTCGGTTTGGACGCTCCACGAGAAGCGCTCTGCCCCTTGGGCTACACCTGTCGCAACTGGACCTGACAGGGGCTGACAGGATCAGGGAAGGAGAGAAGCAACATGCTTGATGAATGTATTGCTCTGAGTGTGTGATTATAAGCTTTAGATGTGTTTGAAGCCATCAAGGGTCAAAGCAAGTGCAAGCAAAGCCATGGTACCAGCCTTTCGTGCCAGGCCCATAGGAAAGCTCCCCACTGGTTCAGGCTGTTTTGGATCTACTGCGTAAGAAAACCTTGGCGTCGCCTTCAGAAAAGGAGTACCGGAGCTTCGCAGTTCAATAGAAGATCTTCTCGGGTTCCAGTGACATAGCCATGGCCTCCAACCTAATAGCGGGCTTTAAAAATACAAAAACAAAACAACAAAATCCAGAACAGTTTGCCAAGGCAAAAAAGATCACAAAGGGCTGTTGTCCGTGTTTCTCCATGTTTCACCCTTTCTGCGTTTTCCCCGAAACGCCAACTGAGGCCTTCACGGAGATCGAAAGTCGGGGACGCCAAATGAAGCTTTTGGCTCCAAGTTTTTCAGAGGCTCATACCATTTAGATTCTAGATGGATGGTGATGGATGCCTAATATGACAGGAAATGGGTAATTGCTAAACTTGTCCGTTACAACTACCTCATGAGCCTCAGCGGCGCCTAGCAAGCTAGGAAGAAGAAGCTAGCAGCTAGGGGTATCTTCTTTCGACTCACGAAAAGGGAATCAGTTGGGCCGACGTCCGACGTTCAAACCTTCTACGAACGACCGGTGTTTCACCGGTGTCGTTCGTACTGAGATCTGGACCACTTCGACTCCCACGAGGCTCGTGTGCTCGTTTCGTGGTGTTTCCTTCTTCTTGACAGGGACGCAAGACCGGATTTGCCTGGTTGAAAAATATTTAGCTTAAGGTCCTTAAGGCTTTAAGGTGGCTTCATTCAAACATGTTCAAAGGTATGTTTGTTGGTCTTTCCACTCTTTGCCGGTTCATGCATTGGGGGCAGGCCTAATGACGAGAAACGAACTTGGGTGCTGCTCGAGAAGCTCGTGTCTCCACATTGCCCTATTTCTGGAACCAACCGACTAGGTTGGAGGCCATCGCTATTAACCACCGATGTCAAGAACCTAGGCACCAAGGAGACACCGAAGCACGCATGTTGCCATGGCCAGGTTCCTGCTTTGGATCCCATCCGTTTGGGTGTCCAGCTGAGCAATGAGGAGGCCGGACGCATGGAGATCGACAGAGGTGATCAGCATTTCTTGGGTCAGCTGTTGGGTCAGGAGTTCCGGAGAAGCACTGGGCCAATCTTGTTTCCAGATAGCCTGGTGTGAGATGACTGTGTGATTTGCATGGTTTGTTGGCATTGTTTGCCTGGTCTACATGTCATGTCGTTCATCGCTTTCCTGCCGGTAGGTGGAGGAGGGGGACATGGTGGAGACCTAGACCAGCCACGGCCTTGGGCATCGGATATTTTCTCAGCGTGATTGCTGCGGCTTGTTTTTTCACCTCACACGAAGCGCGGAGAGGTCATAGTGGTTCCCCTCCTGGGTTGGCTCTGGTTTGGATCAGATGTGTCATGATGCGTCCAGATCTGTGGCTGGATAGTGGCTATGGTTTTAGTCGGTGGCTTGGGGCTGCACCAGTGGCAGCCCTTTTTGGCTTTCAGAAGGGTTGAGGCTCGGGATACAATCATCTCCACATGTTCTCATACATGTTGTTTCACTGCAATATCGTAATTACACTTAGTTGGATTTCATTCCAACCACCACGACTTGATTGGGGGTGAGTTGATCGGAGACCATCAAGAGAAAGAAGCATGCAGAGAACTCAACGGATGATTGGTGGATTTTTACTTCAGGACTTCTTCAACTGTGCAACTAGCCTACAAAGCCGTAGCTGATGATTTCAATCACATTTTCGGTCCTGCAACGTGAAGATGTGGCGACAGATTGAAATGGCCCCCCTCCCTGCCGGTTTGGGCCAACACGGATCCTATACATGACTTCATGGACCCCACAAATACCAGCTCAACAACACAGACCTACCCCATGTGCCTCAAACCAACATGATCTCATTTGCTCAGCAGCCTGCAATGCCAATTGGCCTGAGCTGCTTTTGACAGCCCACGAGTCCCATTTGGTCCAGGCCGGTCTTGAAATTGGGATTCTAAGGCGATCAGATTGGATTCAATCGAGTCATGAAAGGACCATCTTCAACAAGCAGGTGGATCCCAGAAGAGGTCATTCACAGGTTGTCATGGCAAGCTTCAGCAGATTGACCGTCCCTAACCTTCAGAAACTGCTCAGAGCATTAGAAGACACCCAGAGTTTTGTCAAGTGCATCCAAAGTGGCTGCGCCAGGCGGTATCCATGCAACGATCAGCGCATGCCAGAAGTCTGACATCAAGGATGGTGCTTGTAAACCACACAAACCTTTGATGTTGGACTGAAGTGGATTGTCGAAAGGGCCTTGATGAGCCTTGCATTTGCTTGAAGAACCGCGACAGAGCCTTTGGGCCACGCCTTTCAGTCCCAATGTTGCACCCGAAGAAGCAGAAGGAGAAAAACATGAGGCCAGCCTTTCATTCCTTCAAGTTGAGGTACCTCCACAGCTGTCTTCTTTTTTGAGCCGTAGCTCTGTAGCGTGCCGCAGCCGTAGGAAGGTCTCTGATTGGGAACGAGCCCTGCTGGACGCGCCGTGCTCGACGGCATCTTTGAAGAAGATCTACACAGCTCGAATTCATGAGCACGCGCAGCTTGGAGTGCTTTGATTGGGAAAGGCTTGGGCTCGCACGTGGGCATGCTGTGCTTTTTCCTTTTTGTATTTCGGTCAGGCCCGTGATGCTTTCTTCATTTTTTGTTCGTCAAGTTCGCTCCTAGTTTCTGCTCCGGGCGTGTGATCTTGCATTCGTGGAAGGCCTATACCTGTACAGGCGCAGTTCTGTTGGGCTGCGTTTCCCTAATTAGCTGGACCAGTTGCCTAATGGGTAAGGCATTGGCTTACATCTTGCCTTTCAGCAGATGACACCATCTTGTGGAGGTTCGATTCCTCCCTGGTCCGTGCATTCTTTGCTTTGCGTTGTTTTTTGCTCGCTCTTGTTTTTGAGCGATTGTTTAACTGGCACACGTGAGGAAGAGAAGTCAATGGCAAGATTCCTTGCAACTCTTTCACCTCATGGCCGAGAAGAGCCTTGCTGATCACCTTTGCAACTTGGAAGCGGCGCTGATGGGGCGGTCGTGGGTGCAAGCCACGCGATGGCTTTTGTTTTTTACTTGGGCGTCTCCAGAAAGTTACCTCTAGTAGCGTCCGATCGCTCTTAGTAGCAATGCCCTTTGTTGCCAGTAGCGTATTGGTGTTGCCCAAGGCCACAACGCGGCGATCAACGCGTGTGGCGCTGGACAATGGCAACATGCCTTGCTGATCTTCACACGCTTGGGCGATCAGTCCATCGCGCCGGATCAGGCCTCCTACAACGCCGTGCCTCGGAGAAGATGGCGGTTTCATTCACTTGTGTTTGGTTAGCTATATTTGGACCGGAAAAAGATTGTTTTTCAGAAGGTGTTTGGTGTTTGGGTTTCTTTGATTAGGCCTCTTTAAATTTGGGTGCTTTTGTGGTCGCTGCTCAGCGGTTGGTTGCTCAGTCATAGCTCAGGGGCAAGAGGTAATGAGAAGATGAGTGTGAGTGGTTGGTGGGTGACTTTCCGAGCGGCTGCTTGATGATCAGAGAAGGATGAGCTTTCCACAAGATTCTGGAGCCAAGTGGTGGTAGAACAGTGAAGAAGTAGGAAACTTAACTTGGGAACTTCGTGTTTCTTTTGAAAGGAGCTTGAGGACTCTCTTTCCTCTTAATCACCTCCCAAAGTCTGTTGGAAAGAGTCAGTAGTCGCAGGACACACGGATCCTCAATGAAGCACATGTTCTCGGCTTTGCTCAACCCTGCAGAATCCGGCCAGGGTGCTTTGACAAGAAACTGACCAAGAGGACAGAAACCCAACCCACCTCCGACTGAAAAAGGACGAACGTATTGTTTGCTTCGCCTCCCAGTAGCACCACTCTGTGATTGCAGGGATCTCTCCATTTCGGTGCCCACGAACGCATGAGAGGTGCTAGATGCATGTCACCAGACCGAGACTTGGTTGCACAAAGTGTAAGACTCTTCGCAGGTGGGCGGTCGCTGAGTTCCCAGGCCACACACTGGAACTGAGTACTGAGGTGCTCTCACGGGACGAATGTCTCGAAAAGGCTTGCTTGAGATCAAGCTGAGTCAAGGAGAACCAAAGACCCTGCCACGAGAATGTAGAGTGGTGAATACTTCTTTGAGCTTGCAGGTGGGATTTCGAAGCCTGATGCGCGGCCTCATCCACCTCTCCCTCGTTTACATCTATATTGAGCTGATTTCACCGGAAAATCAATCGTTTTTTTTGTTCCCTGAGGGAATCCAAGAAGGATCCTGTCCTGTAGGATCAAGATTTCTCCAGATGATATGTCAAGCTCAGAATTCAAGCACGGAAAATCACTTTAAGTGCCCAGAACCATGACATACGTAGCTTTTTTCACATCCAAAGCTACGCATGCCGAGTTTTGTTTCCAGGCCTATGGCGAAGTACTCTTCAAAGAGGCTTTGGAACGGAAGATCTACGAGCCTCAGCTTTGCCTACGTGTTTGTTTGACAACGTATTCCGTCCATCGGACGTGGCTGACACCTTGTGCTTGGTTTCGGTTTGACCCCTTTAAGCCCCCATCACCAGCAGCACCAGCAGTGCAGCATTCTGCAGGAGTTTCACGTATGCTGAGGAGTTGAGTTGCGACGACTCGACGTTGGATTTGCACCGCTTCTCTGCGGGCGCAGCCTCTTTGGCCGTGCGCCAGTGGCTCGCCACCCCTGGGCTTCGCCGGGTGCTCATCACCGGCCACGGGAAGATGCGAGGCGTGGAGTTGGATGTAGATGCCAAACAATATGTTTTAAGTAATCTATAGTAATCTTATAACTTCAGTATTCTTAGAAGGATTATTAGAAGTATTCTATAGCTTACTTGTGACTTGTTTTGTGTCCTTTTGCCATTTCGTTTCGTCTGTTTTTCCACCTTCAGAGACCTTTCGTCTTTCCTTCTTTTCCTTTGCTTCGAGACTCCAACAGATCTCTCTTTGCTTTTGCATATCGCCTTTTCCAAGTTTGTCCAGCTAATATTGAGATTTGTCCGCCAGCCTGCTTTCCTTGTTTTCCTTTGCTTCCTGGGATAAACATTTGGTCTTTTTCGATGGCTTCCGATGATTTTTGATGTTTGTGTCCAAATTCCAACCTGAAGGGAAGGGCTCCGACGCTCCGCTGCAATCCTCTGAGCCTTGGACCGTAAAAGATAAACGTGAAACCTCCAGGTGTTCTCTTCTTCTTTACTTTCTTCCTTTCTCCTCTTTTTGTTGGCCCCAAAGGTGGCTCATCCAAGACCTGTAGGCATTGTTGTGCAGGTGACTTAATTTACTCCGTACAAACAGACTCGCTTTTTGTGAAAGAACGCCTCTTTTAGGAGAGTAAAAAGGAACTGTGAAGCTCAAGATTGCTGGTTGAGGTCTTGGCATTGCTGAAAGATCTGCAGATTCCAGCAGAAGTTTCTTGGTGTTGAATATGTCTAAGAATGGAGTTGAGAGTTGAAGTTTCTTGGCTTAGTGACACAAAAAACAAAATGTCCTGCAATCAGCGAGGGACGCTCAGGTGGATGACCAGAACTTCGGACGTATTCAACTGGCACCTCGGAGCTGAAGAGCTGAAGGGTCTCACATGAAAGCTGAAAGGTGTCAGGTTCGTCGGAGTTTTGTTCTGTTTTGGTGTTTGGAAGTCCTTTTCCAATTTGGGGAAAGGCTCTTTCACACAGGTTGCCTTTGGGAACTGGATGCTTGGTGTGCTCTATCCAAACGCTTTTTGTGAACTGGACTCATGAAAACTTGCGCCCCAATCCGACTGGATTGCCCACAAATCAGATTCATCTGCTCCCTCAGTCACCACGTTATTGAATCTATCCCATACAAGCAGAAATCTTCAAGTAGCCGTGTTTCTGGCCTTACTACTACGAGCAAGGACGCTGCTAGTAGTGTCCTTGCTCCTAGTAGCGATGCCCTTTGTTACTAGCGTTCTTGCTCCTAAGTTCCAAAAAATGAAGTGCCCTGCGGGAACCCAAACACTTCGTTTCAGCAACGCATGGTGTGCCGTCAGTCGGGGTCCAGCGCTCACCGAGGTGGCTCTGCAGTCCGTGCGTCGGACTCTTCGGCCACCGGCGCCCAGGAGCGAAGCGCAAAGAGGGAGAATTTGGGATCTCTAATGGCAAACAATGTTAGTAGCTGATTAAGTTTAAAAAAATCTTAATTTGATTCTAATTATATTGATAGTAGCTTTTTGTTACTACTAGTAAGGCACTTGTTACCACTTGTTCGGTTTGGATGTGTTCTCTCTCAAAAGCCGAGCCCTTTCTCTGGCTCTGAGGGAACTTGGGAAAAAAGACTGATCATGCCCAGATCTTGCCACTGTTCCTTGCAAGTTTTGCCCAGAAAACTGAAACAGTTCAAGCTGATGTGCAAGAGCTTCCGAATGGTGTAGGCTTCCATTCGCTCGAGAGAGAGAGAGAGAGTTGGAATCACCTGAATTGGCGACAAGTAGCGTGTCTATGTCGGAAGCAAACGCCACCCCCTCCAAGGGTTGATCATTCCTAGGATCCGAGCTTTCACTGGGCAACTGCGTTGCAAGAAGCACATCTAAGCACTCCCTAGCACAGCAGGTTCTTCTTCCGTAGCACTGCGTTGATCTTTCCGAGGTAAAGGAGGAGTAGAGGCAGAGTGGACAACCCAAAACGGCCCCACCCCTCCAGGCGCCCTGGAGCGGCCCCAGCGGGCAGTCCCGCTTGCGCCAGTGAAAGAATCGGAAAAGAACGGGAACATGAGCTGAGGTGGGAACCGAAACTAGCACTTAACCACGGGTGGTTTAGCTTAACCACGACCAGTGTTCAAACCCATCTACTATTTTCATCCTGCTCTCTTTCAAGACAGTTTGTGGTTGGAACACCACGAGTTCGTGGCGAGCGGACCAAGACGTGCCAAATCCAGAGCTCGGCTGCGACGAGCCATGCCAGCCGAGGTCGAATTCAGGATCCTCCGAAGCGAATCTCCGGCGCTGAATGGCAAGACCGACCGAAGATCGACTGTGGAAGTCCTGCAAATCCAAACAAACCCAACTCAGCAAGGAAAAAAATCTAGGCTAGCATGTGCCAATCAAGATGCTTCAATGTGTTGAGCTTCGATGATAAATCGAGTGCCACCGATTTCACCGATAGTTCGTTTCACTGAGTCGCTGCTTTTGGCGAGGATTTGTGCAGCAGTGTTGCTTGCGGGGAGGAACTGAAGCGTCACAGAGATTGGCTGGGTAGGTGTAAGTAGCTTGGAGTAGTAGGTAGCTTGTCTTCTTATCTTCTACCAAAAGGGGCATTCTTGTAGCGATGCCAGGAGCCTAGTAGCGTTCCTTGCTCCTAGTAGCGATGCCCTTTGCTACTAGTAGCGTTCTTGCTCCTAGTAGTAAGGCCAGGAGCCCCTAGTAGCGTCCTTGCTCGGATGAATCACTTGGAGGCCTTTGGGCCGAGCTTCACTGTGCGCACTGCTCTTTCGTTTTCCGCCTGGCCAACCGTGGAGCGCACACGCGAACAAACCTGCGGCTCGTGCGGTTTCAAAATGATTTTGATTCTTGGGGCGAAAGGTTCGGTTTGGTGAAGAAGTGAGCAAACTGGATCTCGATAGATTCCAAGACATACTTTTGGGAGAAGTGGGGAGAGGAACAATGAGCTATGCTTACATTCGTGTTATGGACAGGCAAAAAGCTCCTCACACCACGTCTCTTGACCATCGAATTGTTGAATGCTTGGTCTGTTGACCGTGGTGCCTTTGCCCAGCTTTTCAATCGACATCAACGACCCCAGTCGACATAGTGCGAGAGTCATGGAAGAAGGCTACTTTGCACTCTAAGTGGCCTTCCGTCTCATTCAAGAGGCGCATTTGCCTTTGGGCACGTGGGTGGTATGCCAGCACGAAGGGCCCTTCTCAAGTCTGGAGGGTCGGAGAGCTCCACAAAAAGAGAAGCAGAAGCCAATCAATTAACAAGCTGCAAGCAGGAAGAGATCTCAAATGACCAATGACCCACCAACCCCATATCCGCCACGCACAGAATCAGAAGCCTTCTAACCCGAACCCGATGGCGCTTCGCCTGGGCTTTGCAGTGAGGATCTACCTGCCACTGCAGCATGCCAGGCAATGAATCAGGGGAATGCACTGTGTAGATCAGTGTAGATGAGGTAACGACCTGAGACAAAGAATCCTTTTGAACCGCGATTTGAACCGCGAGGATTACCACTAGAGAGCGGATCGAAGGACCGCCATGCTGCTTCTTTCAATTGGAACTGTTCTTTGTGGGTGTTGTTTGGATGCCAAAGTCGACACACCCCTGTTGGCTTTGGAGCTTTGCTTGATTCACTCTCCTGAAGGCGCTTTTGTGCTGCTACAGCCAGTGAGGCCGGATAGAGAGCTTACTTGACGTTGCGTTTTGACCGAAGAGCTATGTGCTCAAGATGTACCCAAGAATGGCCTTTTCTTCTTACGTGCAATGCTAGCTAGTCATGTTTTCTGTCCTGACTTGGAGCAAAAAGGAATTTCAGGAATGGCATGGTAAAAACGAAAGATGCCTAGGACAGACTTTGCTTCAGAGGAGCCAGCAAGTCACACTCCAAGTGTCCAACTGGTTGCAGGCATTAGTGGCAGCAGCTCGCCACCCAAGCAAGGAGACCCAAACAACCAGGGTGTAGTAGGGTTTGCCACACACTGTATCCTTGGTTGGTTGGGGTTGTGTGGTCAGGTGTCCTATCCAGTTCATTTTGCTTGGAGGAGTCTGTGCGGCGTTGCGTGGACGCCATCTCCTCCTTAGATGCTGCTGAGGCCTGAATACCTCAAGGAATACTTGGCAAAAACGTAATGTGTTCTTTCAAGAGGGCTGCAGGCAAGCATTGGAACCGGTGAGATCACTTTCACCAACCACTGTGTTTTCCACATTCCAAGAACAAATGAAAGGATGATCAATGATGATCAATCACCTAAAGTACTTTAGCACTTTGGGTGGGCGGCCGCTGTGCAGGTTGAAGCCTTTTGGGGACAGCAAGCTGCAGAGGAAGAAGAGATTCAACTGAATCAGCTTGCCTCGTCACTTGGCTGGACACGTTCGCAGGATCTCCCCGTTTCATCCGTTTCATCCACCATCAGCTCAGAAATGATAGCCATCGTTTCATCGCTCAAAAACCTAATAGCGATGGCCTCCAACCTAGTAGCGTCCTTGCTCCTAGTAGCGATGCCAGGAGCCCCTAGTAGCGAAAAGATCAGTTCGAAGCCTTGATGTGACCGGAACGAAGAGACACGGAGACACGGTCACCTCTAAGGTCTTTGCCCAAGGGAGGACGTTTAGTGCCTGGACTCTTGGACCATGTGCTGCCGATGCAAGCGCCACCCACCGAGGAGGCCGGCGGGGACCGGCTCCGGTTGCATGGGGTAAAGGTACCCAAATCACATGAAGACGGCTGTCGGCCGGCTGTACCACTTTGCTGCCATTTTTTGTGGAATTAAGAACGAGGAATAAGACATAAACGAGTGAGGCTAAAAC